CCCCGTCCTGGTGTCATGGTCGTCAGTTTGGCCCGCAACCCCCTTCCCCCGTCCTGGTGTCATGGTCGTCAGTTTGGCCCGCAACCCTGTGGCCCGCAGGGTGACCGTGTGCGGGAGAAAGCGCTGACTGACTCGATCAACATTTTTTTCCGGCCCGAAAATAATGGCGGATAAAGGATTCTCATGCGCGTCAACAACGTGCCCGGGAACTGAAGAGGGTTCGACTCGCCGCGTGGAGGATGAAAGTTCGTATTACGTGCCACATCCACAGGTAGAAGGGCCGGGTTCCAGCGCGGTGGGTCGCGCCCACGACCTGTTGGTTCCGAAACACATGGTTTGTGAGGGCAACCCGGCAGACGGCGAAGCCGCAGCCGACGAAGCCGCAGCCGACAAAGCAGCAGACGACAAAGCGGCCGCCGGCAAGGCAACAGACGGCAAGGCGGCCGCAGCCGGCGGTCGAGTGGCATCAGGTCACAGCTCCACAGCCTCCGGCTGGCAGTTCAACAGCAATCTGAGCACCATGAGTTCGCTCAGGACTAATTCGCTGAGGACCGACTCGCTGAGGACTGACTCGCTCCGGACAGACTCGGTGCAGAAGCCCGAGCCGCTCACGCGGGGCACATACCTTGAAGGGTCATTCGCTCAAGGCTCGCTCCTTACGGACCGCCAGTATGTCCGTAGTCAGGTCGCTGAGAGTAACCAGTTCGGTAGTTCGTTTACCGCCGTCGGCGACTCGGCCGCTGCAGTGTCAGGCTCCGTGGCGCCTAGCGGAAGTCAGGGGGCAACGTACGTAGGTTGTGGAGCAACGGCGGTTGGCGCAGTTGTTACACACCCAGCAACCGAAAGCGGCGTTTTTGTGACCGCCCAGACCGCAGTTGCCCAGACCGCAGCAGTTGCACAAGCGGCAGTTGCCCAAAGCGCGGCAGTTGCCCACAGCGCGATGCCGCAAGAGGAAGTAGGGGCATGTTCCAGGGCCGTGTGTGGAAGCACGTGGGCGCAGTTTCCGGGTGTTCAGACAAGTATGGCGGCGAGTTCAAGTGTGCAAACGAGCCCAGTTGTTTTGCCGGACAGTTTGACATTTGTGTCGTCTGTAGAAACAGGGTACTCGGTAGTACCACCACCGCAGACGGTGGCTGGGACAGTGCCAGAGTGCGGACGTTGGACGGGTGATGCTTATGGGCAGACAGTGTCTCAGGAGAGACAGGTTCCATTAGTTCAGGAAAGGATAGTCTATCGCCGCGTGAAGCAGGTTGTGGAACGGCCAGTGGAGAAGACAACGTTGGTGCCTAAGGTGATTCGTAAAGAGGTTGTGGAGTTCCGACAGGTGGTGACCGACGAGGTTATTGAGGTTCCCAAACCATACTCAGTGGAGACGCAGGTCTTTATCCCACGTTACGTGGACCATCCGACAAGCTGCGCTCTTAGCCAGAATTATTTACCCGTGTATAGCGTCGCTGAGGTACAAACCGCTGTCGAATGCACACGCTACGAACCCGAAATACGAATAGTAGATGTCAAAGTACCCAAAGTCGTAAACGGCGAACTACTCGTCAAAACCAGGGATACAAAACTCAAACATGTCCCACATGACCGCGTCTCTAAAGCACAATGGAATTCTCTAGTGCTTAAAATCAATCCGGACTTATGTAAGGTCGGAGACCTCAGACACCTACCAGTACACAGAGACAAAGACGGACAAGTCATCGCATTCAAGCCTGAAACTACCGTCGGTGCCTCCCTCTCAACGCTCTAACACAGCCACGCTCTAAAGGCGGTGCGAACGAGATTCGACCAGTATTCTTGGACATCAAAAATCATCAAACCGGTATTCTTGATATGAGAAAAATTCCGATGTTGGCGCGGTCCCTTGGCACCACAATTTCGAGCAAGTGTGCACACCAATTACGCACAGTCACTAGCACTGCACAAAGGACTCTAAGACTTTTTTCAACAACCGAACACAGCTAGATAGGGGAATGGTAGTTAACAACAATTACAAGTACCAAGAAAGGGTACAGGGCAACTCTGGCTGCCTTGGCCAACCAGCTTTGAGACGTTCGCAATTAGGGGACGAGGGGATTGACGTTCGCAATGGATGTCTGTACATCGCACTCAACACAGAGCTAGCGACCGACAAAGACATCCTCCGGGAACAGAGAGATGGCATCACGATTAAATGAAGGGGTGGGGACATCATAATGAACTTGTAGTACAAGATGTGGTCGCGACCTGCACGGAGATGTGGAACGGGAGTATCAATGTGACTGTCGAGAGGACTGTCGCTGAGTGGCGAGCGCTGTTAGAATGGTGACTAACTGGCGAGGTACTGTTCGTGGCGAGGTACTGTCACCTACCGGGTTTTTGCTCGGTGTATGCTAACAGCCTGTCTGAGGGTCTATCATGGACCGTGCATAGTTTATCCGGATAGAGGCGACGCACGGGCCACGATACCGTAAAGGGGCTGACACAGTTGGAGAGATTGACACAGTTGGGGAGACTGGCACAGTTGAAGAGACTGACACAGTTGAAGAGACTGGCACAGTTGAAGAGACTGGCACAGTTGAAGAGACCGGTAAACTGCCGAATGGGTGCAGGGCATGCTGGGTTTTGTTGTCCTGGTCTCACCTGTCGGTTTGAAAAAAAAACTGTTGAGTGATCATAAGAATGCGAGCTTATCGGAGACAATCAGCTGACCACCGTTGGAGCTTCACTACGATGTTGGCAATACTGGATGCCTTTGGAACACAACCACGGGGTCAGTGGGCTCGGAGTTTATTTTTTCAAGGTATGATTGAGAAGCGTTTAGCGAAGGAGATTGAACGGCGTCTCCGAGACGATGATGACGTACAGATTCTTAAATGGTTCGAGCAACAGATCATTTCGGCTCGAAGTGTTAGAGCTGCCATGACTCGTGGAGTAGCGGAGGAATACGATCAACTCAGTGATCTTACTTTTTCAAGGGTGGTAGAGTGGCTCATTCCGCGGTTTTGGGCAGATTCTACAGACGCGAAACGTGCGAGGAGAGTGGTAGCTTGTCTGCGTCAAGCCTACATATTAAGTGTCTTACCTGAGCCTTGGCTTGATGAGCCTCGGTGCTCGTCCAGTTACGCACCGAGTGGCGTTTTTCCGGACGGTACTGGTCTTAGGTCAGTCGCGACCGTCGCTTACTGGGCTTATTTCATGAATGCGAAGGGAGGTATGTCAGCGGAACAGGAACTGAAGAATCTTTCCATGTTGTCCCGGTGGACATCGGCCGCCTCATTCATGCAGGCGTTTGCGGGTCTGGAGACACACTCACTCCTGTTCACAAAGGAGGGAACACGGTTTGACTTGTTGGCAGATCTCACTCAAGCAATGGCACTCACTCACATCTATGATGGCTATGAGCGGAGACCTTATGATGAGCGACCTGACATGACTCCAGAGATGGTCGGAGACGTACAGAACATCGTGCGACAGCTCATACGGGTACGTGCAACGTCAGTTAGTCAAGCGAGGGAGTTGTATGCGTTCCATCTCGGATCGTGGATCAAGTCAACTGCATCGAAAGTATCCAAAAGCCATTACAACCATTTCCTTACGCTGTATCGCGAGCATCAGACTCGCTTGGTTTACAATTATTTCTCAGGCTTACTGTCTTGGACAATGCCTTCAAGGGAGGAAGCGCTTTCATCCGAGGAAGCGCACTTCCCAGTAACTGAAAATACACCCCGTACGCGCGCAGATGGCACCCCGTACGCGCGCCTGCAACTAATCTGGATGGAAGAACAGTTCGTGCGCCGTTTGATGTACCTGCTCATCAACCAGCATGCTGCCGATACAAGTCAAGAACAAGACGCTGTTATCCTTGGGCTCCGGGGACCACAATTTATTTTGTCTGTCTCGGAAGATACCTTCCAAAGACTCTACGATCAGGCATTGGAGGAAACAGCAGCCCGAGTCGCAACTGAACAGGGCTACGACTACGCCTGGAGGGCCGGCTGTGCCGCGATGGTAACGATGCACGACGTATGTTCCTTGCTTGCTGGACCTAAAGCCGACGACGACTCTTAGTTATGGAAGTGTTACAGAAATCAATGGCAGGGAGGCTGGTGGGCATCGGCATCGGCACCGCCGTTGCTGCTACCACCGGCACCGCTGCAGGCAACTACTCACAGCACTGAAAACACAACACCGGACGTTCCTCCATAGCTGGAACGTTCTCGGTCCTGAAATCAGTCCTCTAAAGAAGAGTGTTACTAGGAGGACTGTTACAGACTTTTTTCCAGAAACTGCGATCGCTGAAGGCGAGAGGTGTGGACAAGCGGAAAAGAAGCGACGTTGCGAGCAAAAGCTGTGGTGGAGTTGTTATTCGACCCGGCGGCGCTTTCAAGATGCTCTTGGTCGAATAACAAAGAGCCCAGGGTTATAGCATCCTGGTCCAGGAATCTTGGTCGAGGAGTTTATGGACTCTTGGACTAAGGTCTTGGACTATGGACCCAAGGCCCTGGCTTATGACTTTTTCTCCAGGAACCGTGCTTAGATGCTGCGTGAAGAAGGCTGCCTGTCTGCCTGCCTGCTGGTGTCCCCTAACAGTGAATTGTCTTCGCCAATTTGTGAAAAGTCGTTGACAGTTAGATTTGTGCCCTATGGATTCAAAAGACTGAGCCTGAGCCACCTGTGGAGACTGACGCCCACGCGACCTAAGTGAGCCAAGTATCGAGAGTGTTCATCAGGCCAGTTCGTTAAAATTTTCGCGCCACAAGCTCGTTCACCAAACTCGACCAACTAGTCACTTGTTGTTTGTTGGCGGGTTGCTGTTTTTTGTTGGCCTCTGGGACGTGTTTTTTCGCGTCACGAATAAATTTTTTTTCTCGATGAGAGGTTGCTGTGCTGCGCGGTTGCGGGAAGACTTGCCGACGTGGTCGGTGCTGGCTGGGGTCACATTCGACGTTATTGTACCAGGTGTGGAGGCTTCGCCGGGTTCTAGGTTTCTAACTGCTGAGCGCCTCGTGAAAGGGAGTAGTCGGCGAGGCTTTGTCCCGGATGGTTGTCCACCCATGCCTGGGTGTGTGAGACTGCTTGGCGGCAAAGAGAAGATTACGCCGCGGCTGTTCCTAATTATCGCCCTGCAGACGGTGGACGAGTTGATGAAGAGCGAAGAAACGTTGTTCAACCGGGACCAGGTCCAGTTGGTGAGCGACGCAAATCGCCCCATCGTTAGACTAGACCTAGCGGGTGCCGCCTCCCACCGCAATTTTGAAGCAACAACTAGTGAGACCAATCGGGTTCGCATGGCTCAAGCGGTCTTGGCGAACCTGGCCGAGGTCGGCCACGTGGCTAGGGGCTGCTCGGCTAGGGGCCACTTGGTAGCGGGCGACCCAATAGCACCGTTGGAGACGTCGATGGCGACCATGAGTGAGTTGCGTGAGGCGCTGCTCCAGACCTACAGAGCGCTCGAACCCTCTGGCGACTACTCGTCAGTCTTCTGGAACGTCCGGAGTCAGCCGGAGGCGACTACAGACCTAGGAGATGGCCGATACACACCCGACACCAAGCTCACATTAATGATGGGGGGTGCTTTAGGTGTCCTTGGTACAACCGCTGTGTGTGCCCCTTTGGGGGCGTTTGCGGTCGGCGTCGCCTTCGTTACGGGGGCGCCGATGGGCATGCTTTGCAGCGCCGCGGGCACCGCTGCGGGTCGCGTCGTGGCGGACGTCCTACTTCCACCTGTAGCGGACAAGCCATCTCGAGCGGGCAAGCCATCTCGAGCGGGCAAGGAAAAGCTTGATTGAGATGATCGTCAAGGTTATAACGCAAGGAACGAGTGTTGATGTTCAAAAGACTTTGTGTCCTTACGGAATTTTTACGGGCGGAGGTCTAGAAACCATGTTAGTCCAGAGTGATGTAGTCGTTGCTGAGTGGTTGAGGCAGGTTGGGCAGTCCTTCCCGCCACAGGCTGGGGGGGTAGATATTGAAAGGAAGTAGGGGACTTACCTTCGTTGGACTAGAGCGCTGCATATAAGGTATGCTACAATAATTACGTAGGCGATGGCGACAGTCGGAATAACGACCATGGTCCAGTGGGTGTCTGAGAGACGCATTTTGACAGTCGTGCTGGTTACTTACTGGGGTTAACAGCATACCAAAGCACGTCAATGGTGGTGCCAACACACCCGCAAATCATAGTTATGAAGGATAGGTCGGCTTGAACTCCTTTGGATAGCTGGGAATCAGCGGGTGCAGGTAACAATTGGCGGGTGAGTGGGACACTGGCGGGTGAGTGGGAGTCAGCGGCGGATAGGTCAACGGGGCGGATAATGGGTCAGTGTTGATGCGCACGGGAGGTAAGGAAGTCTTGTTTGGTGCTGAGTCGACTGAGTTTGAGTAAAGCATTGAGTCCGGGTGGCTCTTGAGGTAGGACGTCATAGCCATAGAACTGATTTGTTCCTGACCTGCATATAGGGCATTTATCTAAAGGCGCTTGTTGGTTGGATTTGCCCAGCCAGAGTTTTAGTTGACTGATACGCGCGCATATGGCTAGTTTCTTCCAACAGGATGAGTGCACTCGAGCACTGCAGATGACACAGCTACTATGCAGGACGCCTTTGTCTTTCAAGCACACGTAACACGGCTGTCGACCGCGGAGAGGGGAATTGAATCCGGGTTCTTTAGGTCCCATGGCACCCGATACTTGCATGCGGTTTAGGATATTCGTTTTAGTATCCGTTGCGTTCGCGACCAATCCTCGGGAACACCTCGGAGTCAGTCAGGAACGGATCGAGGACGAAGTAATTGGTCTGGCTACGTTCGACCCAACGACTGAAATCAGTCTTTCAGTGAAGCGGCAATTTGCGGGTCAGACGTTGCACCACCAGCCCGGTAGTCGGTTAGTACACTTCGTCTTGGGCAAGAACGGAGCAATAGAAAAGGACAAAGTAGTCGGAGAAAAGAATGGTGAATTTGGAAACGCAGATGGCCGATTGGGTGTGACGCTGGCGCAGCTACTGCACTACCGGTATCAAGCTGCATTGGCCAGAGATGTGCTGTCGAAATTAGATTCCGACGATGTTGTGAACGAAGAAGATCTGGAGCATTATCACCAGCTGGGCGAGCGTCTCGGTCGCGTGGCAGAACAAATTAATCAATTGGCTGCGGTTCCGTACGTGTGTGCACGACCCGTCTCACCGGCGGTTGCGCGCCCTGTGATGATCGAGGCGACTACGACTGCGCCCACGACCTTTTTGAAGACGTTGGCACTGATGGGCGATGACCCAACCAGCATCGTCGACGACTACTTCAACGCAGGGGCCGTCTGGGCTCGATTTGTCGAGTTCTGCGGCGTGGACGCTTCGGGTATGTACTCCTACGAGTTGCTTCGCTATTGGAATACTCATTACCGCGAGCTACTGGCTGACGCTGTGCCTGTCTTGACTTCTACGTTCGCACACGCGTTTCTCACTATCGAACACAGGGCCGACGCCGGCCACAGCCCCTCCATTGCGCTGGCTACCAACGTTAGCCGAGCCCTGAGCACCATCTGCGACGACGGGGAAGACCTGCCCATCGACGAACGTCTTGCGGAGTGCTTCACTGCTCCAGGCGGTAGTGCTGCAGACGGCAAGTTGGACAAGTTCCTGTTCCTGGCCTGGGCGGCAACTGACGGGGCCGACTGGCGCGCAGCTGTGATGCAGTCTAGTTTACAGGAGTTGAGTTTCGTCGCATGTTTGATAACATCACGCACCACGGAGCTACTCGGCGCCTACAGCCCTTCCTGGTGCAGTCTGGAGCCTGCAAAGCCGCTGCCGCGACAGGGCGTGGTCCAGGTTAACCTGGGCACCACGCCTTTGGAGCTAGTCAGGAATTGGATGCGGGCTGCCGGCGTCTCTGACGTCGCTTCTCTACCGCCTGTCAAACGAGCTATGACTCAACGCCCATAGCGCTCCCGAGCAGATGAGAGTAGTTAGAGAGAGACGTGCGGGTAGTTAGGGAGGAAGGTGCATAGTTTGCAGCACGATGTCGGAGAGCGAATTCGAGCCCCAGCAGCGTTCCTTGTCACACTTGTATCCGGAAGATGTGGTTCGGCGAGAAACGTCGTCGATCATGACGGAACCGGAGTATTATTCAGGTCGCCAGGTTTATGCGGAGCTCACGGCCAAGCAATCAGACTTCGCTCGACACTCGATTTTAAGTCGAGAGGTGATTAGCCAAATGGACGACGAACAGATAAAGAAAAACAACATTGTCGCGGACATGCTGATCTTTGGGCTCTGTGTGCTCGTTATTGGTCTGGCCTCTGTAACGGACCAATTCGCAGTCATCAAGGACGGCGTCAAACGCATCGACTACATTCCGCGCATGCCCTACCTTATCTCCTATGTCGTCTCCGTGGCTATATGCATCTTCCTAGCCTACTACACCGAAGGCTCCGAAGGACTCGGTCGGCTCTTCAACCGCAAGAACATCTTCGCCAACCTGCCCATGGTCGTAACCAGCTGTATCGGAGACGTCGTCGTCCTTCGCATCAACGTCGCACTGGACCCAGCCCTTTGGAAGGTCATCAACCAACTCAGGCTCCTGCTCACTGTCGCCGCATCACGACTCGTCTTCAACCAACGCATCTCCGTCACCCAGTACTGCACGCTCTTCGGAACCTTCTGGGCCGTCCTTGCCTACGTCAGCAGAGGTCTGACACAAATCGTCATCAACGACTACTTCATCCTATTCGTAAGCCCCAAACACACCACTCTACCGCGTCCCGAAATTCCGACCCAAATTATTATTGCTGCGCACACGCGTGTGCGCGGCCAAAATAATGCATCCCTTGTTCTTTTAGATCGGTATATGCGTGATCTTTATGAACGTTGCTGCTGGTATCCACAACGAACTTACGATGCGACGAATCAACGACACGTTCCCCATCATGTTTGGTCAAAATCGTTTGGCTGGTTTGTCAGTCAGTCTTGCCATCCTGCCATTTGAATTATGGGCGACCAACTCTTGGCACAAATTCCCGTTTGGAGAGTTTCACCGTGGGGTGTGGATCATGACCTTGTTTGAAACGATAAAGGTCTGGCTGATTGTGAAAACCATGACCAAGCTGGGATCTGTGTACAGGACGTTGGCTCTGAGTCTTGGGTTGTTCGTCACTTATCTAGCCTCATCCTTCCTGCTACCCACCGCTCCACCTTTCAACATGTCGCAATTCACTATCATCACCGCTATGGCAATGTGCGTCATCGGTTATTCTACGGCTCGCATTGATGCGGAACGGGTTTACGACCTGACGGCCGAGAAGGCGAACAAGCTGGCCGACGAGAAGGAGGAGCCTTAGCCAGCTAACAGTTAGAAGTGAATGACCAGCAGTCGAGGGTTCCGGAGGAGCCAATGGTCACGAAGAAAGGGCGACGAGTTAGGTGGCGACGAGTTAGGTGGCGATGAGCTAGATGGCGACGAGTTAGGTGGCGACGAGTTAGGTGGCGATGAGCTAGATGGCGATGAGCTAGATGGATACAGTAGCCAAAGAGATACAGGACAGATACGGGGACTAGGTGGACATGTTCTTGTGGGGTATGTGTACGAGTTGCACGGGTTGATCTGGATGAGTCATCTAGACCTCATGAAGGGGCCTGCAGCGGTGGTTTGCGCTGCGAGTTTTTGCTTAATAAGTTCGAGCTCCTCCTGGTGTTTGCCAATCTCGCTCTTTAGCTGTAGAAGCCTTTCGACTTGGTGATAGGATAAGGGTTGAGAGGGTCTCTGTTGCAACTGCGATATGTTCCGGAGCCCTTGCCCAAGTGTTTCTACCTCCACACTTAGGCAATTCGGGCTCTTACATAGCCGTCGTAAAATCCGGTCATACTCAGAACCCAGGTGTTGCGAGTCCTCCGGATCCATCTCAAAGCCTTGTCGTTGCCGCGCGACTTCCGCCAGGGATTGCACCAATACCAACGCCTTGTGACGCAACTCGCACTGAGAGTCCCGAATCACCTTTAACTTGTCTATTGCTTGCTCTTGGAACCGTATACGCCACGCCTCCTGTCGCTTCTGGAGCTCTTTTATCACAATGGCAAAGTTCGAGAAAAACTCCGTCTCAGAACGCGCCCGCTCGCAAAGACCATCGAATCCAACCACCAACTGTGTGTAATAACTACAACCATTAGTGGGTGAACTATCAGTGGGTGAACTATCAGTGGGTGAACCATCAGTGGGTGAACTATCAGTGGGTGAACTATCAGTGGGTGAACTATCAGTGGGTGAACTATCAGTGGTGAACCATCAGTGGGTGAAC